CGAGTTTCACCATCCCGTGTCTGAGAAAAGCCCTAAGCAAGTCGTCGCAAGCGAAGGGAGAAAAAACTGCGCCGCTAAGAGTCGCGAGGCGAAAACGTTGAGAAGGTGGAAAGCGTTGAAGTTTAAATTTGTTCCAGAACAGACTAAGCGCCGAACCATCGGCCGAAGAAGCGAGACTAGACTGTAGTCGGCGAGGGATCAACCCGTGGGGATTGACGGTGCATCTGCATCTTGCAGGTGTCAGGGAGTTCAAGTCGCCCGGGGATCTTGCAACGGCGAGGATGATTATCTTGATCGTAGAGGCTGATAATCAATGCTCAATAATCACTTTTCCTTGATTTTTCCAAAATTCTTCAGCCAATGTGTTCCACCACCTGGCAAATGCTGTGTTTGGTTGTTTTTGTTGGGAATTCCCCCCACTGCAAGGGGCGGATCCGTGGAATCTGGCCTCGACTTTCTCCGTTTCCCGCACGCCGCTAGCCCCCTTGTGTAACGCTGATCCTTTGAGTTCAGATTAGCTGGACTTGTCGCAGAAAATAGTACGTTGTAATAATGGGAAAGAGGTTAATGCCAATAGCGTGGCTACCATGGGTCCATCTCTCCAAAATAAAAAGACTTCAGGAACTGCGTTCCCCTGATTGGACGATGGCTGCGTAAGTCAGGAGAGACCCTGTCTTTCACAAGGAAAATTTAGATCCCCAATCGTACAAGAGTCGCAGTGTCTGACGCTGCTTCTTTGTTTGCTTCCTCCCTCTCTGTGCGAGTCTTCGAATCATGGCTGAACTTCGTAAAGTGCCTGCCAGCCAGGCGGCGGTATGTCTATCCCTTTCATCAGCACCCCCATTTGAAAAGCCCTAATCGGCTAACGGCTCTTTTTTTACTTTGACAGCAGCAGCAGCCCATTCACAATAACGACAATGTTCCCAGTCTGAAGACCCTGAAAGATGCCATTCCTGAAGAATGCTTCGATTCCTCCGTCGTCACCTCCCTCCTCTATCTCGCCCGCGACATCCTCTATTGCGCCATCCTCGCCTACGGCGCCTTCCACATCCACCTCCTCCCCTCCCTGCCCCTGCGCGCCCTCGCCTGGGCTGTCTACGGCTTCTTCCAGGGCTGCGTCGGCACCGGAATATGGATTCTGGCCCATGAATGCGGTCATGGTGCCTTCTCCAAGCACCAGACCTTCAACGACATTGTCGGCTGGGCCGCCCACTCCTTCTTGATGGTCCCCTACTTCTCCTGGAAGATCACCCATGCGCGCCACCACCGCTACACCGGCCACATGGAGAAGGACACGGTCTTTGTCCCTTGGACCGACGACGAGCTGGCCAAGAAGAAGAACGTCCGCATCGAGCAGCTCAAGCATCTGACCGAAGAAACTCCCATCGTCTCCTTCCTGCAACTCATCGGCCATCAGCTCTTCGGATGGCAGCTGTACCTCTTCCTGAATGTCACCGCCGGTCCCAAGAGTCTTCCAGAAAATCGTCCGATCCGTGGCGTGGCCAGCCACTTCAACCCCTTCGGCGACCTTTTCACTAGGTCGCAGTATCTCAGCATTGCCTTGACTGATTTGGGTCTGCTTATTATGGGTTCGATTCTGTACTACGCCTCGACACAGATTGGCGCATGGAATGTCGCCCTTTTGTACTTTGTTCCCTATCTGTGGGTGCATCACTGGCTGAGTATGTCTTCACCTTCTCTCAAGAGATCGTTAAAGAGGCAAAATTAACACATAAAACAGTCGCAATCACCTACCTCCAGCACACTCACCCCGCTGTCCCCCACTACTCCGCGGAATCGTGGACCTACACCAAGGGTGCCCTCGCTACCATTGACCGGAGCATCGGCTTCATCGGCCGTCACTTTTTCCACGAAATCATCGACTACCATGTCGTGCACCACCTGTTCAGCCGTATCCCCTTCTACAAGGCCGAGGAGGCTACCCGTGCTATCCAGCCGCTCTTGGGGGCTAACTACCACGAGGAGAAGGAGAGCAGCTTCTTGTACTCGCTCATGACTACGTTCCGCAAGTGCATCTACGTTTCGGATGGCAAGAAGAACGGCGTGTTGCACTTTGTCCTCCCTGAGGAGGCAAAGTAGGGATGCATGAATCATCTGGGTGATTGATTGTTGTGGTGTTTAAGAGTGTGGATTTCTAGTTACATAGAGTACGATATGCATATAGACAGCTGATAGACTTTGATAAGCGATCACAATGTATGATAGACGCAAGACTACTGTTGATATTCTTTCTCTGATAGAAGGTCTAGACTTATAGTCCAATAATTGACATCACGCTCAGCGACGCAAAACATCCATGATCTTGGAGCCTAAACTCTGTTTTGCATCTCTCTCCTTCTCTTCTGCTTTGGCTGCGAAACATCAGCATGGTCCGAACACATTAAAGTAGAGACTTACTTTCGTAATAGTCAAGGTAGCTTTCCATATCCGAATTCAATTTTTCGATGAGCCCAGCTTGGAAAAGCTGCACCTCTTGTCCTTCGGGACCTACGAGGATGGCCTTATACCAGTCGGCTCCATCGTCCCGGTCATTACAGGCCCTGATTGCCAGGCCATGATTCCAAGTCATGGCCCAAACTTTCGCCGAGAAGCTCGGTGGGGCGCCAGGCATGTTGACGGAAGCTATCAATGTGTTAGCTGAGGACATTGAGTGACATGTCAGTGAGATTGGAAACTTACCTATGCAGCAGAGTATAACGAAGAAGGATAAGAAGGGTTGCGTCGAGGAATATGAACTGAGAGTGAGAACGATATACGAAATAAGTGTTGTGTTCCACATAGGATAATTATTTATTTGGGAGAGCTTATATAGTTATGTCTGTATGCTGATAGCAGTTTGGAGTCGGAATTATCCGTGTTTATACACTCCTGTCAACCAATGATCGTCTAGACTGTTCTGCGACAATAGAACCTGACTACTGGTTATGTTCTCGAGTGACTAGGCAATGAGGGTTCTGTTACATGGGTATGGATTCGGCCGTCGACAGCGGGTCTTCATCCATATATGAATATCACACTTGCTAACAGTGAGACATATTGCAGAATGCCAGTCTATGTACACACAAAGAGAGACGTGTGATCGTATATTGTATTTATATATGAAGGAAGTCTCCGGACAATGCCCATAAAGAAATGCGACCTATCGGAGAGCACAGCAGCATATCAAAGGAACGACTTCCCTACGATAGCATATACACCATATCTCCTACACATAATGGTTTAGACGCTGCTAGCAAACAGCCTCCTGACCAAGACGAAGCAAAAATCTCCCCTATAGCATATGCCATGTCTCACTGCGTAGGCATTTCCCTTTCCTTCGGGCAACTCGCGTACAACTTCCACCCATCCCTTTTAACATATAAGACGACTCTGTGTAACCCTTCCAATCAAGTACATGCAACATACCTGCACTCCTGCACAGCCCTTACCCAATCAAAAGCCACCATGCCCCGAACGCGTTCCCACTCCATGCCCTACTCCACCCCCTACCCTTACATTCCAACTTCCCTATACACCCACCCATCCGTTCCCTTCTGCGTCTCCCCTACCATCAACTACTGCCAAAGTGACGCCTCCTCTCCCCCGCCCAGCCCACCCCAATCTATCACCCCACGTCCCCTCTCCCCACCCCCACAGCAACCCTCACACCCACCACCTCCACCTCCACCTATCCCTCGAAACAACTACCCCCAACTCTACATCCTCGACGGCGACACCGCCGCCGGCCTGGCAATCCGCTACTTCATCCACGAACGCGGCGGCGTCCGCGTCCGCGCCGGCTTCATCGACGTCCAACTCAAAGACCAGATCCTACCCTCCTTCATCTGGGAACAGGACCACGCCGGCGAACTCCCCATGCTCTTCCTAGACAATCCGACGCATAGACCCGTGCGCAAAGTTGTCGGCTTTGAAGCCATCACCGAGTACATTGATAGCGTGTCGCCCACGGATCGCTATCTATTTGGGACTACGGAGCAGGAGCGGGCGTTAATCCGCTCGTGCATTCATTGTCTGCGGCGAGATGTGGTTGAGCCGCTGTATGAGTGGAATAATCATTACTTGGGGAATAAGACTGGTGAAGAAGTCACTGGGTACGCGCCGGTTCCGGGTCGGAGGAGGGCCCTGCAGGAGAGGATTGAGATGACGCTGGACCAGGTAGAGGAGAATCTCGAGGGGTTGGAATATCTCCTTGGGAAGTTTTGCGCCACTGATGTGTATCTCTTTGGGATGGTGGTTGCGCATGCGGATCGCTGGCCGTGGTTCTTTGATGACGAGAGGAGACCTAGAGTCTCTATTTACTTTTCTAGGATGAGTGAGAGGCCTATGGCGCATTTGGCGGATGATTTTGGGATACTACCCGGACGACGGTGGTGGACTAGGGTGATGTTTGAGGTTGGATGATATTTGGGGATTTTGCTTTGTATATACAGACTGTCAGGTATTGTGCGGAGTTGGCTTTTGTCAATCCTGTTTGCTTGTTTTAAGTTCGTTGAGTAGTCCATGTTCAAGTTTAATGGTCTACTATGTATATCAGTTGCCCATGGATCGGGTCATTTACTATGACGCCCCCCAGGTTATGATTTTAAATATATAGCAGTGGTAATCCTGATGAGCTTACTCTAATTAGATTAGAAGACTGAATCGGTATAAAAACCCGCTCGAGCCGTATGAGAAGGTTTCTCAGAAAGTACCAATACCACTATAATCACTGTCCCTGATCTGGGTATCGACTTAGCTTTCGGCATCCTCTCCGTTAGCGCCGTGGCGTCCAACAAGGGGTCTCGTTGATAAACGCCTTATCATTGGCGGCTGTGGGTTAGCGTCTTGTGGCGCCGCTGCAGCATGATAAGGATTACAGCATCATAGCATTGGGACTATAGCTAACTCCGGACTGCAGGTTGTCGGACAATTATTTAAGGACGTCACAATGGCACTGGAATTTTTATCTTTTCAATGTAACAAGCATCAGAATCGTTGAAATGTCGTCCTTTTCCGCACAGTCCACCAGTGAAGAAGTCTGCCAAGTCCTGGCGGACCACATTAAAGGGAGCAAAGGTATGCCCAACTATCCCTTCTCAGTTTTCCGAATGAAGGAAGGATCTAACTCTCTCAGTCCTAATTACTGGCGTCACACTTGGCAGTGTAGGTGGCGAGGCAGCTCTTCAATTGTCCCGGCACCAGCCGGCTCTCCTGGTCCTGGCCGGTCGTAACCTGAGGACCCTCCAGGCCACCGAGAATGCCATCAAAGCCGAGACACCAGATGCAAATACTCGTCTTCTCATTCTAGACCTCAGCTCGCAGAAAAGCGTCCGCATGGCAGCTGCAGAGGTGAACAACTATCCGGAGCGCATTGACCATCTTATCAACAACGCGGGCATCATGGCGGCACCGTACACGACTACTCCAGAGGGAGTGGAACTGCAGTTCGGAACAAACCACATTGGCCACTTTCTCTTTACCAACCTGCTCTTGGGGAGAATGACGAGCGGAGAGTCAAAGGTTCGAGTGGTGAATGTCAGCAGTGCTGGCCATAAGCGTGGACCTGTCAGGTTCGACGATGTGAATTTCGAGGTTTGTTCTGTCCCAAAAATGATCACCCTTCGTATATGAACTGATCAAGGAAGTCTTGGCTAACTCTCGGCTAGAACGGGAAGTGCTATGACAAATGGCAAGCATACGGCCAAAGTAAGACAGCCAATATGCTCTTTTCGGTATCACTGGCGGAGAAAGCAGGGGAGAAAGGGGTGGAGTCATTCAGTCTCTATCCTGGACGACGGGAGACTGGCATTGGAAGACATTTGAAGCCAGAAGAATGGGTCAAGGCTGGTATGTAGAATTCTGACGTGACAGACATTGTTTGGTAGTGAAGGATGCTAACGTGAACATAAGGATGGAAACATCAGGATGGGAGCATCAACGATGACCCCAAGCTGAACTGGAGAACAGCCAGCCAGGGAGCTGCTACCTTGATTGTTGCGGCATATGATCCAAGCATTTCTGGTAAGCACGCCCCACCAATACTGAGGGGTAGATGTTGATAGATTGCAGACAAAAACGGTTCGTACATGGTCAATAACCAAGTAAATAACGGCGAGGCGGTCGATTACGCTCTGGACCCGAAAATTGCGGAAAAGCTGTGGAAGCTGAGCGAGGAGATCGTTGGCCAGAAATTCGAATACTGAATGCTTCCTATCATATAATCACCTTACGCTGACCGAATCCATCTTATTCGTTTCAAGGTGTCCCGCTGTGAGATGGATAGGTGGTAAAATGTGGATAGGGTGGCTCAGTTGTCTTGCTTGGCATCGTAAGTGAAAGAAGCTTCTGTTACACTCGAGAATGTATTTTCTGTGCTGCTTGAAGTACTGCCGCTGCCAGTATAGTAGTCCCCAGCCCCTTGCCTGCGCATCCGACCTGGCACTGTGATATGCGGTCAACGAAGCGATGGCAGAGACCGGTAGCCTTCGCCAGACGTCGCTCTAACATCGTCGCGGGTACATATTGAGAATCAGGCATTCCTCGTATTACCTTGGCTATCGTAGCATAAATTATTGTCAATCCCAACCAGTAAAATAATAACGGCGGTATATCATCAGCATTGGGTATAACCATTCTCTCTTCCGGTTTGCCACACGGTGTAGGCATGGGCCCCGCTGTGGGCGGCACGATCATAAACATAGGATGGCGACATTCCGACTGCCACTCGTGATACCAACTCAAGAGATTTTGCTCGAGGCCGATTAACACTTTCATCAGGTGTATCGCAGAGTCGCATGTGGCCTTGTTGCGATGAAGCTCATTTTGGGTGTACCTGTGTAATTGGCCTAAACTGTACAGCATATCAAGAAGTATGTCGAATCTATTGGTTGACGGTTCGATATGCGAAAGTAAGGACAACGAAGGCTCATGCTTAACATTGGTACACGTGAGAAGAAACTGGGCCCGGCTTGTCAGATGCGTCAATCAGGAATAAGATGAGCCTACCTCAATAGTACGGAGTCGGCGCAGATCCTGCGTGTTGAGCAACTCCGTTGCAAAGTTGGATTCACTAGCTAACTTGCCAGCTGCCTGGACGTGGACACTCCATGCATCTTCCTGCCCTGACGGATGTGCACAGACCTCGTAGAGTGCAAGGATCATGGCAGAGCGGATGAGATCAGAGACGTAGTCTATATCAGTTAGTGTACATATATGCTGTATCGCTTGCACGTATTGGTGTCTGCTGCATTGTGCCAGGTTATGATCCTTTCGCAAGGAGGCCACATGTGCAAGTGTCAATGCAGTGAGGGCTGTCCTGACAACTGGCAACACGGACTGACTGAAGGAAGGAAATAGTTTTACCCAGTGAATAGGCGACTGGTTCTTCGGGTCTGGAGCTTCTGGGGGTAAGTAGTCGCGCAGGAAGATCGAGACCAACTGCTCCTGGTTCTGGGCCACTATCAAGGATCGATTGTTCAATCCAACAATGGTGGTGTCCCATAAAGGAGCACGACTCCTAAATTCAGTCAACAAAGCTCTTCTCCAGATTAGATACCGAGTAGTAACTCACAGGTCAGAGTAACCTCCACAATCGCGGGCTGAGGATTGACATCGCATACAAGCTGGCCGGGTCTTGTCGCACTAGCGTGCCCGGAAAGTAAGGCATCAGCACCAATTGTTTCGGCTGATCGACAAAATCATCGCACCTTGACCTTGCGCATCAGACAAGTCCGGCAGCTTTGAGCCCTCCAGGTGCTTCGACCCATCTTCCACGCATGAGCCTGTCCTCAAGCTGTGCCGTTGCATACAAGCCGGATGGTTGTCAAGAAGAAGGGAAAGCGTGAAGGATGGCGAGGCTGACGGATTAGCCGAACGCCGGCACATGACTACGAGAGCTGATTAGTGGACACTAATTCATTTCAGCTAGTATTTATAACTATCGCATATCCCTTGCTTGCATTTCTGATGCATAAAACGTCTCAAGTCTATGTGCTCTCCTCAACTCCAGGAACGCCCTATGAAGACTCCGAACGTCCCGAAAACACATCCATCAGCTGCAACAGACTATCCCATCGGCCGTCCTTTTGAACCTCAATCTTGCCCTCCGGAGTCATTACCTTGTACTCATCTGCCGACCGTGTACCATAGTCGTAGTCAGGTTGGTCGTTCACAAAGGCCACTAGATCTCGGATCCAGTCGTCCATCAAGATGCGCTCTGCAGGACTGGGTCCATGCATGATCGAGTAACTGGACGCTGTCAGTACTGTCTATAGCTAGGTGAGGCAGATTCTCTTACTTCCAAATTGGTCGGTCCATACTGTGACTCACTCCAAAAGATGCTGGCGCTACCTTTTCAGTGATGAATGACAAGCGGTATGCGATGAGATACCGCCAGACATCCTTGAGATCCACCCCGTGCTCCAGGAGATTGTTCACCAAAAATCTGTAGGGCGCTCGGACCTGTCCGTCGGCGATGATTCGTCCGAATACAGACTGCCATTCCTGCTTGTCTGTGGAATCTGGTAGGACATAATGGCGTAGTAAACGGTCTGTTGTGGCAGGAGAATAATAATTCGACACTTGCAGTTTCAATGACTCCAGATTGGCCTCCGGGCCGTTCGTCACGGCATACAATGTGTTTTCATCGCGGACTTCTCCAATAAACAACCGCAGGCCACGCCTCTTGAACTCGGCGGCGAAAGATCCATTGCGATAGTAGTCAAAGACGCCTGGATGGATAAAGACGCCATCCGTGACCGGTCGGAATGTGTGGTATTTGAGTTTCATGATTGCATCACATAAGTCTGTTGCACTGATAGCTCGCAGCTTCTTCAACTTCTCTGCCCCTGTCAGGTCTGCTGAAATGCCAAAGTGCTGACATAATTCATCGAACTGTGGTTCACAATCCTGTACTGTCTTGGGCTGGGACGGAATCGCGTTTGAGTGCATGTACAGTCTGCGGAATTTGTTGCGCGTAGCTTCCTCAATCTCGCCCCGGAAGTCATACAGAACTTGAGCTTGAACCGCATAAGCGCCAGCACTGCGACCCGAGATTGTTATGTTCTCTGGGTCTCCCCCAAATGCAGCAATATTCTGGTATACCCATTCCAGAGCCAGTCGCTGGTCCCAAAGACCATAATTGCCGACTTCTTGGCCAGCCGACTCCTCCCGCAGCGCCTCGCCCGCCAGGAATCCGAAAACATTCAGTCGGTAGCCCACTGCGATGAAGATGGCATTCAACCGTGCAGTGGAGATAAGTTCTGTGGGGTCCATTCCCGGCTCCTGGCTGGGGTCGCCAATCTGGAACCAACCCCCATGAAACCAGATGACGACAGGCCATTTGGGATTGCGCGCTTGGGGGTCAGGAACGGGTGTCCAGATATTGAGGCGTAAACAATCCTCATGGTAGGTGTGTTTAGGTCCACCATGGGAGCTGACGGCCTTGGAGTAATTAGGCTGCGGGCAGACGGGGCCAAATCGCGTCGCATCATAAGTATCCCCGGGCTGGCCTGCGATGAGCTGTTGCAAAGGGTAGGGTTGAGGTTTTCGCCATCTCAAGTCGCCGACGGGGGGTTGCGCGTATGGAATTCCAGCGAAGCGTCTCGACTGGGTGCCATTTTGCAGGCCTTTGACACAGCCACTTGTTCCCGGTAATGGGATCTCACACTCGGATGTTTGGTAGGAGATGTGGTTTCCCATGGTGTTACAATTTCGCCGGTTTGTATACCCAAAAAACCTGGAATTAGAAGACAAGGATAAGAACAGTAGCGAACAGAGTGTTGGAACTGAGGGGTAGTCAAGAATATATGTTTGCTAGTAAAGACTACGGTCGGTGGCTTCTATCTAGTCTAGATAGTACTAGGTTAGGTCGTAGTTTAGTATTATCTGCCTGCATGAGGGGTTGCGGGCGCCACAAGGTCCAGATACGCTCTGATTGGCCGGTGGGCTAACGGTGCTTGTGTGAGATAAGATACACAAGATACTGGGTTTGGAGAAGAGATCGGCAATCCGAGACGCGTGAGGGGATTCAAGCCATGGGGGTCCATGAAACTGATGAAAACTGCAGTCCTACTGGTTCAGGGCAGAATGTAGGCATCCGCCATTCTTGGTCGTTGATCCGTCGGCCTCTATTTTTAGGCACCGATCGATGCCAGAACCCTAATTAAGGGGACGGGGACGGTGTACACTCAGGCTATATGACCCTCCTTCGGGCTGCATCTGTGGCCGACCAAAGACGCCAGGAAAAGCTTTCCCTGCGGGGACTTCTAATCCAAGAAACCGACGCTTGTTGTTACCTCTGGAACGTCCAGAAAGAAGGTTTGGGTTGGCGAAAATTTTTGCTGATTTCACGTGATCACAAGTGCCTCAGGAGCCGATCCCCCAAGGGGGCAACTTCAGAACGAATACGATGATCTCAATCCTCCACGCCAACCATGAACGACCAGCTGCCTATGCAGATTCGCTCGCGGAGATCACACAATAAATCCCGCGCAGGATGTCAGAATTGTAAGAAACGGCGTGTCAAGGTAGGCCTCCCACTGCTTCCGTCGGATGAAAACCGGACGAATACTGTCAAACCTCCACTGTACTATATATTACTCCCCTCCTACTACTACTAGTATACAGCATCACTAGACACAATGTTGTCTATTTTTCGTGCCTTGGCTTGCTTCATTCCCAGACCTGCCACATATACCCCTCTCTCTGGTCATACTGACCTTCCCCAGTGCGATGAGAAAAAGCCACATTGTACAAAATGTGTGCGACACTCGATCGAATGTGATTTTGCTTCCCCGGCCGCCTCGACCTCCCCCGATCCAACCCGCCGATTCCGGTTTCGACCATCCAAATATCAATCCGGTTCAAGAACATCATCCCCAAGCACCCGCACAGAAGCTGTAACATGCTCAGATGCGTCCGCATCCACCGGAGTGCAATGTGATCTTGCTGGAAGTGCCCTGTCCGGTGGCATCTCGTTTGCCGACCTGAAGCTCTATCACCATTTTGTGACCTCAACCTACAAAACTCTTGCAGACGAGAAAATGGACCACAAACGCGTCTGGTCCCATCACGTTCCGCAATGGGGCATTTCGTTCCCCTCTATTATGCATCTAATTCTGGCGTTGTCGGCGCTGAATTTGGCGCATGAAGATCCCGCTTCGCGCACGCAGTTCATTGCTCAAGCTGACGATCACTTCACTTTTGGGGTCCGATCGGTATCTGCTGTACTGTGCCTTCTGAACACGGAAAATTGCCAGCTAATCTACATGTCTGCGGCCCTCATCTGCCTAGTGTATTTCGGTCGTGGGCCCCGTCGAGGCGAGTATCTGGTGTTTAGTGATATCGGCCGATCCGAGTGGCTCATCCTGTTGCATGGCGTGCACTCTATTGTATCGCAAAATCATGATCGTGTCTTCACCGGTGTTCTAGAACCAATTCCGGACGATAGTATCGGCGGTGTGAGTGATGAGTTGCAGGCAGAACTGGACGAGCATCTGCAACAGGTCCGACAAGTCCAGGCTTTTATCCTGTCTCATGTGACCGATGAAACGTCCCGAACCTTGTTTGAAGCTGCCATAAGTGATCTCCTCTCGGCGTTTGAGGAAGTGTATAAGATGCGTAGCGCTGGGAAGGATGGCATCTGTCTGATGCATTTGGTGGTGGGATGGGTGTACCGTCTACGGGCGGAGATGATCTCTCTTTTGGAGCAAAAGGACCCATACGCATTGATTCTCTTTGGGCATTGGAGTATCTTGTTGGTGTATCAGCGGTCGTCGTGGCTAATGCAGGGATGGGATGCGCATGTGTTGCATGGGGTGCGCACATCCTTGGGAGAGGGAGACCAGCAATGGCTTGCGTGGCCGATCCAGGTGATTGAAGGGGGAATACCTACACCTAGCACTTCCATACAGTAATAGTTCGATAATAAATGACCGCATACTTTCTATGCATATATGTACATCTGGACAACGAATCAATTCAATAAGTATCACAAAACCTTCACAAACATACTATGTACCGTGATAACCCAGAGACAAGGAAAATATAACGAAACAAAGCACTGCAAAAACATTATTTCCCCCCCTCCTCATCCCCGATATCCGTCATGGGTTGGCAATACTCCGCCGCCTCCTTGGTCCTTCTCGCCTTCTTAATCATCGTTCCGGGATGATAAACCACTAACACGGCCATAGAAACAAACATCAACGCCGCATCAAAGACATAAATATAGACCTCCTGAGTGTTCAAAGGCGACGTCTCATTGGCCCCAAACTGCACCGTCCTGACCAAGTTTCTCAGCATCAACGCTCCACACGCCACATACAACGCCCACATATACCGCTTCCATCCGCCCATCAACCACGGATTCTCATTGACCACCCACGTCGGCTCGCGACTCAACCGCAGATGAAACACAATAGCAACCCACACAAACAATAGAAAGATCACCAGAGAGAATATTAATCCTGCCAGGACGGCTTTGATACCCGTTTTCATGAGATGCTCGTCGCCGGTCACTTGCACCCCGGCACCGCCAATCTGCGTTAGAAAGCAGATGACGTCGTTGAGGACGAAGATCTTGGTAAGCCATTTGGGGCGGATGATGGAGTGGTGTTCGGCAGCGAAAGCGACGATCATGCGTCCGAGGATCATGTAGACGGTGGCGGCGATGAATGGCGGCGCGCAGAGGATGAGCATCTCCTGCAAGGCCCAGGGACCGATGAGCGTCCGGCCTTGATGGGACCAGGCACGGCCATAGTAGCCGAAGGTTTCACCTAATGAGATATTATGTTAGATGGATGGGAAAATGGATGGACAGATGTCGTGGTAGGGCTTGGGGCAGTTGATGGGGTAAAGATGGATTCGACGCACATATTCCCCCGATAACTAGCGGTATAAAGTATGCAGCGCGGTAAGGAAACATCATGACGAAGTGGACAAGGGTCGCAATGCCGAAAATGGCCATGAAGGCGTACCCGGCTGTCGCGGAGGGTGTGTAAGGATAGAAGTCGACATAAGGGTCGGAGCCATTGACACCGGGGTGGAATTGAAAGTCCATGATGAGAGTTCACGGACTGAAGTGAAATACGATTCTGGCTTCTAAGAACGGTTAGATGTGTGAAAGTCTGAAATTCTCAATCTCTGGATTGATGGTCTTATATGTAAGATGACCCTGGAGGAAGATCATGATGGTATTACCGAATCGGGTAATTTGTGAGCGAGTACGAGCGGGTGCGCGATGAGCTTGTTCGGCGGGACAAGAGTGGAGAGGCTAATTTTAGCTGTCGGCGCAACAGGGACAGAGGCCACGAAGATAAGCATTTTCCAAGACCCAGACTCGTTGCATGTATGTTTCATCTGTGCCTATGGTCTTGCATTTCTTGCCCATGGGTTGAACTGTGGCCAATCCCTTCTGTGGGCAGATGCAGGGTGCCACAAGGCAACGATGATTCCGTAGCAGGGACACTCTCAGGCACCCAAACTCTGTGCCGTGCTCTTACTAGTCTGTTTTCAGATTTGACGGCACTTAGCTCGCGACAAGCTAGAGCAGTGCCGATCACCCCTACCAGTTCCAGCACGCCTACGCATATATACGAGAATATTGCAAGAAAACTAGGAAAATTCTATTCGAGCAAACGGAAATGCCTCCAATGCAAGACTCCGCAAGTCTAATCTATCGCGCTAACTCCAGAATTGCATCAATCGTAATGCGTCTATTTGCCAAAGACCTTGAAGCGGTCCTCCAGGGGCGCGAAAGCCTTCTCGCCGGGCTCCGAGGTAGGGACGCCAAAGACCAGCTGAGCGTCGAGCTTCCAAGAGGCCGGCAGGTTCCACTGCTTCTGGATCTGCTCGTCAACGAGCGGGCTGTAGTGCTGCAGGTTGGCACCGAAGCCCTCGGACTCCAGAGCGGTCCAGACTGGGAAGGGAGTCAGCGACTGCTCATGACACATGGTAAAGCCCGTCATGGACCGATGATAATTATGAAAGAGGGTCGATGACTTACCAAGGTACTGGGACATGGCATTGGACTCCAGGGCAAAGGGGTCAAACTTGTCGGCGTAGATGGCGAACTTCTCCTTGATACCGGCGAGGGAGTCATAATCGACGAAGAAGAGGACCTAATGTTGGTTTAGCTGGAGATGTTGGTCAAGCCAGATCATAAGGGCAAACAGACCGTTCCGTAGCCCGCGCGGAAGGCTTCCAGCTTGGGCTTGGTCTGGTTCTCAAAGTTCTCCTTGGGGAGGTGGCCAGCGGCAACCAGACCCTCCATGGCAGCGATGGCGATGTCCCAGACCTTCTGGTGCTCCTCCTTCAGCAGCAGGACGACGCGGGAGGTCTGAGTGTTGAAGGAGCTGGGCACGTGCAGGACGGCATCGGCGACGATGCTCTCGATGGCATCGTCAGAGATGGGGCTCTCGGCCTTCAGGCCGTAGTAGGTGCGGCGGGCCTTGACCAGCTCCAGGAGGGAGGCGGTGGCAGGGTTTTTGAATTGCGGCTGAGTGGAACCCATTGTGAAAGTATTATACTAGGGATAGTTGACTTGTTGATGAAGTTGAATTTGATTGATACCGATAGAATGTCAGACTTGATGTCGGGGCGGGACTACGGCTTATATAGATATGCGGTATTTGATTTTACCCCGCCAGTCTGGTGGGGGACATTTTTCCATTCTATTGAACACTTTCACCTTCCTCATTATTTTTCATTATTATCAATCTGCATTACTGTGGCGTGATTACCACGCTCGACCAATCAGGATTTGTAAGCCGGAGGGGAGAGACCCTCACTAAAAACTATGGAATTAATCAGCTCTTAGCAAGACGCGGAATTAGCTGCCTTCCACCGGAACACGGATTTACGCCTGTAGGTAAGCAGTTGCTTTCGTTCATCTTTGCGCACAAATTCTGCTGTAAACTTCCATCTCTCTTTCTCTCTCTCTCTCTCTCTCTCTCTCTCTCTCTCTCTCTCACAATCATCATGCAGTGAAATATAAAATCAACAAGAGGGATGCATGAAGGATTGACTTGATTCGAAGCCAGGCACGTGAGGACATTTGATTTATGCCTGAGGTGTCACTACTTCTTGGGGCCACGTGATCGGGACTTACTTCTTGGGGCCACGTGATCGGGACTTCTTTTAGCCCGAGAGGGCACATGGTGGATTGATGCCTCAGGCAGAGAAATGGCTAGAAAGGATTGGTTATGCCACTAGTGACCTTCTACCCTGAGATTCCCTCTCGGTCTGCTACAGTTATACCAGTCATGGCTCCTGAGTTATCCAAGGCACCCCACCTGTCTGGTGTTGGGGACGGCGTAGGTTACCACTACTACGGAAATTCATCCACCCGACGGGGCTACATCGACATGTTCACTCGGAAGATAAAGAAGGGGTTGGGTGTGGCTTGTCGGTCTTTGTAACACCAACGCCTATATCTACACAAGATTTTGTTGGTTTACTAGACATGGTTCATCATTGAGAAGATGGTGTGGTCAGAAACCAAAGACGACATCTGGTACTTGGACTTTACTTTACCTAAATAGGGCCCTGGGAAGACACGTCCGAAACTATTCTTAGATGTCTTCATGTCACTCGTGGAGCCGGGGAAAATACAATAATCCCATAGGCGCCAGGCCTATCTCTCAAAATAGACAAGTCTGCCCAGACCTACGGGCTAAGAAGTGTTGATGTTTGTCATGACGGAAGAAGCTTCTGCGGCTTGACCGGGAATACGAGGTGTATTTCCCATGGAAAAGTAACACATGAAAATCGACCAAAAATAATTAGGGTTAATAAAAGAGAGAGAAGAAGAAACGAAAAGTTAAAAATGGCAACAACAGATGAGACTACAAAAGTACACGAAGATAGAAAAAAGAAAATCTTACAAAGATTATACAAGGTACCGATGATGAGTTTATCAAACCTAAATTGTAAACAATGACCGTTCGTTCCTGCATGGGGTCAGGGTCGACCGAACCGTTTTTGTTTCCCATAAACACCTCTCCGTTCCACTCCTTCTTGATGCTTTTCTTTGTTGCTTTGCCCTATTTTTGTTGTATATTTCTTCTCCTACTCTTCACCTGTTTTGCCTTCTTCGGCCTGTCTCCCTTTTACACTCACGCCCACAGGCACCATTCCCTTTTCTCTCTACCTCTCTTCCTCCGTGAACTTATCATCATCACTACCATGGCGACGACTAGCACCCAGACAAAACCTTCTAAGCATTCCCGGGAAGAGGAAATGGAGGAAACCCCGCTGAATTGCCCGATCCCAGTCCCTAAGCCAGCCATCTACCCCAATGAGATGTACCTTTGTCGACGAGATGAGTATCACGACATGATCAACCATCATAAAGCTGTATTTTACACCCGCGCCACCCCCAGAGCTGCAGAGGTGACGGTCGGCCATGCTCTTGAGTCGGTCTTTGTTCGGGTGAGAACATGGGCAACCATGTGGGGAAAGGGAGAGTCACTCTCTCATCTTGCGGATTCGGATAAACAGGCGATAATCGCCAGCTTGGATGAATACTGTGTCCAGGAAGACTGGGATAGCATCCTTCTCAGCCTCCCTCCTGCCGCTCGGGCTAATTTCGGATGGATCCTGGTTGAGACAATGCTGAACCAATTCATCTGTACCAAGTTCATAGATTCTCCTTTCTGGTTCATGGACGGAAAGATCAATGCCACCGATTCAGAGCCCCAGTCTGATTTCCACAAGAGGTTCCAGTACGTGTACGAGAGGCTCCTACAAGGTCAGTTCACATACCACCCTTTTCTTTGCATTTAATTAATCATGATCTTTTGGTCTGCTCTTGTTCCTTCGTCCCATCCGTCTTTGTTTCTTACTTCCCTCAAACTTTTCACCGGCAGACAATGCGATTTTACTGACCCCTAACAAAACCACAAAGTTTCCCGCGAGGATGCAGCGTGGTGGAAATTCATCATTGTTGGAAAGCTCAACGATGAACCCTGCGTGATGAACAACATCCCACCCACTCCCGTCGGCCGCAACACAGTCAAATATCGCACGGCGCTTGTGAAGACTTACACTGATGAGTTGATGCGTTCTCGGCTCTTCCAGCTCTTGCTTCGGGATCCAGTGACCAAGTACAAACGATCCCAGCGCAAGAGTAGTCTGCGTTTACTCCTCGAATCTGCCGCTCAGACCGTCATTCACGGCGATGGTGGCCTCTACGGTAATATGAACATTGTGAGACTGCCAGATCTTCCGAAATTCAACCACTGGTCCGGCCAGATGATCGTCCATCCCTTCCACGCAGGATTTGAACCCGTCGAAGGCAGTCGGGTTTTGATTGTGACGCGGCCAAGCTATAGCTACATCGACATCATCTCCCTCAAACACTTCTGTACGGTGCCCCCATGGATGGTGAACCGTGCCGAAGTACTGGTGGCAGCCAAGGGGAGAAAAGCCCGGGCACTATGGGCAGCAGCTGCTGTCAGCAATGACTGCGAAGACACCGTTGGAATGGACAAGGAGGAAGGAGAGAGCCAGGAAGATGATGACACGGAGGAGAATGCTGATCCAGTCAGGGATCTTCCGCCCCTACGAGAGACCATCTGGCGGCAGTAAACCGCCTCTTGAATCTCTGGAACTGGATTTTGAGGAAGGAAGCCCTGAGGGGTTAGAATACCCATAGACTTATTGACGTGTTGACTACATTTTGTCGGTCGAATTCAGTTCTCGTACCACCTAAGTCCAATCCTAGTCTATGTATTTTCTATCTGTCGTGTTCCATCGTGCCCCTTCGTCCCGGAAGTCAGTTTGGTTATTTCCAGCGACGGTTGTACATGCTGCCCGCATTAATGGAACGCCAACACCAACCCTCTTCGTAGCCCTTCATCCCAATTATCTGTGAGTGTGTTATCCAAGGCATATTGCTATAAGTTCAATGAACTTGGAAGAGGGAAAAGGAAATCTATATTCAGTTACATTCTAGATACACAGACGATCGCAATCGAGAACAAGAAAACCTCTATACCAAGAAACCAGAAAAGAAAAACCAGGGAAAAAAGCCTCCCACCCTCAACCACTGAACTGTGATGGTACCCTTTTGTTTTGTAGCCAGAACAAATATATAAGGAGGTAAAGGCCCGGGAGAGAGGCCAACAGATCCGCAAGTATCATAATGCCCAGCGGGGGATGAGGTCTCTGACAACATGTGTTATCGTCCCTACCTCTGCCACCCGTTGATCCTGACGGTCCTACACCTCGAAGGTCCAAACCAATTTAGCATGTAACACAACGTCAAGACGCCAGAATGCGCGAAGGCGGTAGTGCTTGATAGTCCCATCTGCAGATGTCCAAGTGTGCGTGTTCTCTGGAAAATAGAGTGCCGCGAAGCCAACGCTTTCAGAGACTAGGAAGTGTCAGTTCGCAAAGTTGATCAAGAGGAAATGATGGTTATGGTGTCTACCAACCTCCGGTACTATCATACCGCCGGATTTCGAGGTCACGCACATGCTCACCTTGCTGTATGCTGTAAACGGTACTTATTTCGCCCCTTGGAGGTACACCGTCTCGTGCCTGCACCTGAAAACGCAAAGACCAAGCTGTCAGTAACAGAAATAATGCTATAAACCCCGCGGGCGACCAGTGCGTACCTCAGTAAAGGCTATACGACGATGCAATCCGTGATGAGGAGCAAGCTCCGTTCCTAGCTCCTCGACGAAGGGGGTGACAAGCTCGTAGGTATGTTTCCCCAGATACTGCATGGGATGGGTGATGGTCCCCCCCTTGATGGCTAGGCCGTGGGCGACAGCGGTGATGCTGCACCTTGAAAGTTAGCTGCTGCTGCTGCTGCGGCTGGAGACAGGGACGATGGGAGCGGGGGGTAGAACATACGCATCATTGCCGCGAAAGGAATCCATAGGTACCTGGTAGATTGTGGGATACCTGGTAGCAAGCATGGTACTCAGCCTTCCTTGCAGATAACCGGATCGACTCAACCCACCAATTATGGCAATCTTGCTGGGATTCCAGTTATCGATGAGGGCTGCCACTCGGTCCTGGATCTGGGTCACAACAGGACCCATGCTCTGCTGGAGGGCATCCTGAGAGAAGATGAATCTGCGCCCTTGCTGGTCAAAGGCGTCGCGTTGTTGACCTCGAAAGTGCCGGGGGAGATACCATGAGTCAAAGCTGAGGTCGACACTGGCCTCGCTTTGGCCGTCAAAGGCGTGTTTGGCTGCGATGGCCGCGTTCAACCCGACATGCATGACCCTTCCCGATCCTAAGGGCCGTCCTAGGGTCCTCCGAAGATGCCTTAACAACGATTGGTCGAATCTGGGGTTAGCACAATCCGCTTTACTGTCCTCGTCATATCTCTGGAAAAATAGACGATGAGGTTCGGTCGGATGCACCGCAACAACATCCAATGCAGTAAAGTCCTGCTTAAGGTGAGTTTATTGATGATGAATCAATCGTCGGGAATCTTACATTCGTTAGACCACCCAAGTCGCAGACCAACACGCGGTCTCCTGGTTGTGCCATCGACTTATTCCTCAGTCGGTTTGCCACAGCAATGGCCGCAGCCAGCCCTTCGGTCGCAAAGTAGATCCGACCTTCGTTCTGTCGGAAACCGGCCTGGTTGATGGCGGCCTCCATAATAGCCAGGCCCTCTGCGCCCCAAGAAGCCGGCAAGGAAAAGTGCCAGTCGATGTGTGGTAGGTTTCCGGTTCCTAGTTCACGCAGGATTCCTGGGTCGTTGCGAAAGGCGTTTCGGATATTCGACAGGAAGTGTGAGATTAATCTCACCGTCGCAGGGCGGTTTTCATAATTGAAAGCCTCTTCACCGCCGAAAAGAGCATTCAAGTCCAGTTCTGCAGCTCGAACCTCGGGTACCCCCTCCACGAGCATTTTAGTCCAGGCGTATCGTGGAGTTTGGTGTAGCGCCTCCTCTCCATATGTGGACTGCTGATCCTCGCCGTTGGGGTAGGCTAGAACTGAAGGGATGATGCAAGAAGTTGCACCAGGGGGCGTCCACTCCACGGAACGTGCTCTCATCGCGTCCCAGTAAGTCACCACTGTGAACAATGTGTTAGCATAGCGTCCGGTTCAACAAATGGCTGAACCAAAACGAAAACAAAGAGAGCTGCGAAAAGGAAGGGCTGTCACTTGCCGGTCTTTGTGACCCCCTGATCGATACCCACAGGCAATCGCCGGTTGTTCATTTCAAAGAATGGATCTAGGGGTATAAACGAGAAGATAAGAGAAGAGTGAGAAACAAAGAGTCCAGTGAAAAGATTGACTGTATAAAGCGGGTCAAACAAGCTGTATGGTTAAATCGACAGGATGGAACCATGGAATGAAGAGGGAGGCATCCAAAGCGGTCTTTGACCTTTTTATATTCTCTGGCCTCTGCTGGCATGAATGTACAATATAGAACTCAACACATTAAGCATGTTCTATTCCAGTCATTCTGTCTCTCCTCCCCTCATCTCCTCTCTCTCTTTCTCTCTCTCCATCCCACTCCCCACTCTTCTCTTTTGGGTGTGTGGCTGTTGTATGTCTCTGTCTCTAACATTGTAACAGTCATTACATGACAATATAACAATATATACTTTCCTGGCAAAAGCCCTTACCCAAAGCGGCACGTGGACAAAGAAAGTTTTCCCATCCAAAACCATGGGAACTCAAAGAGGGAAGTCGGAGGCGCAGTCCAGAAGAGACACTGAATAACAAAGAGGACAGGAGAAAAATATGGGCTGCGATATAATCCCCCCCAAAAAGAGGGTCGATATAAAACGATACAAGGAATAGGAATCAGAAGTCAAGTTATTGAAAGAGCAATGTTTGTGTTAAGGTCTAAATGGGCAAAAGAACCAAGCTGAAGGGCCCAGCTGACGGCACAACCGAAGGATAGAATCCTAGGGTTTATAATTACTCCGTAGTAAGGAAGCAGTTGTAATTCAATTTATTATTATCCTTTTCGTATATCCTTGCCCGCCAGTCTTGTGACCAAGGTGTTCGTGTCTTCGTATTCTGTGTTTCTCATCTTGTTCTCCTCTCCATCTGCAGATCCTAGGCAGTTGAATTCAGTCTTTGATTCTCTCTCTAGTCTTTCCGCATTCCATTCTTACTCTTTCTCTTCGTCTGGCACCCTTCGTACTTGTTGACGCATCCTCTTCCATCGGATCGACAATTCTCGCTCTGCTGCCACACCATGGTCCCCCGTACGCGGCGGTCTGAGACCCTCAAGCGTGCTGCTAGCGTTGACCCCGAACCCGCCAGCCCGGGCGATGAGACTCCCCCGGAGTCAAAACGCGTCTATCCTACCGATTACTACTTTGGCACACGCGAAGAATATTCTGATTTTTTCACGCAGCTGACAAGAATGTCAAGCGCGGCCCTTTTCAGAAGAGGTTACCCCGAGCTTATGCATGACGAATTCAATCAACTGCACATCTCGCTGAGGAGTTGGACTTGGAGCTTCAGTGTAACCGAGGAGGAAAGCCATCTCTCTAAAGATGACAAACAGGAGATTATCGCTAGTCTCAAAGGCCAATGCGTTCAGGAAGACTGGGACAGTATCAAGGCTCTCTGTCCTCCTGCTGCTCGTAGGTCATTATGTGATGCCCTCCTCGCGGCAATGCTCTACCAATTTATCTTCGTTACGCTCATCGACTCCCCCTTCTGGTTCATGGACGGCAAGATTGATCCTACTGACGTGGATGGCGACCCTCAGTTCCATCGGCGGTTCCAGCATCTGTACGAGAGGCTCCGGGCAGGGAACGGCTTTGGTGCGGCATGGTTAAAGTCTGCTGTTATCTCTGAGTCTAATCCGCAAAACATCTATGGTGGCACGGTTGAAGAGATGGACTTGGCCAGGTGCAACTCTGCCCGGCGCAAGGCGTTGGTGATGCAGTTCAGAGACGAGCTGCTTGGGCGTCGGGTCTTTCAACTCCTTCTCCGCCCTTTGGAGAGTGAGGCAGAAATAGCTCGCCGCAATGGTGGTCTCCACAGAATCCTTGAGCAAGCTGTTTACGCGGTCATTTACACTGAAGGAGGGATCTACGGCAACTCTGTGATATACAGGTTACCCGACCTGTCTGTCTTCAACTACGACTCGGATAACATGGTCGGCCATACCTACCATGGTACCAGTTCCAACCGCACTCCAGACTGCGCAGCTGCTCCAGGAGGTCGAGTTCTCATCGTCACTCGTCCGGGCCTCACTTACGTCGATATAGAATCGTTTGGTCAGCTCGGCAGGCGTCCTCCTTACCGATTATTCCCGGCGGAGGTGGTGGTCGAGGTGACCAAGAAGAAGCAGGCCAGTACCAAATCCAGGCCCAAGACCAAGCCCAAGACCACCCCCAGAAACAAGTCTGCAAAGCCTTCCGGGCCTGATCTCCAGTCCAACTCCATACCCGAAACTTCCAAGTCTGCGTCTACGTCTCAAGCCGCCAGCGCGCCCGAAGTTGAGGACAACACCTCACCCAGCGAGAAAAATGAACCCCTTGGGAAGTTAATCCCACCGTTAAGGAAGAGCTTCTGGCGGGAATGACCAAGTAATTGTTATTGATGGATTTTCTTTGTTTCTTTCTTTCTTTTCTTTTCCCTCCTTCTCTTGTTATGTTTCTGTCCTTCTGTCCTTCTTCTGTCCGGGAGCTTCCTTTGTATGTGTGGGGAATAAGGCCTAGTTTGCTGTTACTATGGTATCGTTCCTCTTGATCATTACTAGACGAGTCTTATCTAGTCAGATATCTCGCGTCATCAAACCAGTCTCAAAGTTTGTGGGTGTATGCGTAGTGTATTAGATGGAACTATTATTGTCCTACTTGCTCGTTTGTAGTAATCTCTTTCGCTAAACCTTGGTAATACCACCATACGAAGTTGTTATCTTAGTCCCAGTCCCTCATTGGCACACATCCGTACCTTAAACCGGATGAAACCGCCAAGGTAGTCGGGTATTGAAGCCCCTGGTCTGCTTCTGATGGTTTCAATACCGTCGGACAAGAGTTTGTCTGTTTGACCTTTAGCCTCCGAATTCTGACAGGTATCAGCTAAAACCCTCCGAAGGCCTCTACCTCCTCCGTGTGATCACCAGATAGGAAAGACAGGCCACCCCACTCTACTCTATCGCATCTTCGCCGGTAGAAGATGCATTTTTTGGTTGGAAGTTGGGTTGCAAGTCCCACGGCCTGATTTGGAGCGTGGTTCATTGGCTTTTGTGTCAGCCCCTTCCAATAGTCCAATTGTGAATCAGCCGTCGGCAACGCTATTTCCGGTCCGGCAACCTGGATTGACAACGGGAAACACATCTAGAACCAGTGGACCGCCTCAGTAGAATAGGTAGTTGCTCTCTTGGATCTCCGCTCATTGATTTCTCCGGAGGTAGTGGAGTGTGGCATGCTTTTCCTCCCAAAGTTACTATGATCTGAATCAGGGGGGGATGTTGTGGTCGTTAGGTCTGCGACGTGTCCGTACACTCCAATGTCAGGGACGCCACGAGGTCCAGTCTATAAGGGTCTAGATGACGCGGCTGGGAGACTTTATCCGAAGGACACCAAGCTGGCTGTTGCAGCTGCAGGCCAAGAAGCGTGTTGTTGATATTTCGGAGGAATAGGGATGGGGGACGCCACCCTCGTAACTGGTATTCCGGGTCTCGCCGAACGGCAAGAGGGCGAGGGGCCATTGGTATGAAGAACCAGCTGTGTGACCCCGGGGAAGCAGTCTCCCGTGCCGACAAGGTTTGGCTGATACTGGGGGCGTTTGTGCTATTGCCCGTGGACACTCGCAGCTGTTTTGACTTGCCCGTGAGTGAGAATGGATCGGTCAGCCGTCTACCGAGAAGGGGCAACGGTCAGCAGCACTGAGGCCATGTAGGCTGTTCAGGTCGTTCTCGTATATGTCTCTAACTAGGATTGGGCCGTGGGCAGATGAGGTTGGATGAAGAATGGATTTTCTGGAAGAGCGGCTGAAATTCCGTGAGAGCGCCATCATACGGCAGCGTTTGGGCTGTTGATATGTTTACGTTAGCACGAGCTCGATAACTCCATCTCCGACAGCTGTTGCCTATGTCAGAACGGGACTCATATCCATCCCTTCGTGACAATGTGCCCTACTTCGACGAAAGACCTTCGCCGTGGCTTCCTGACTATTTCCATCGACAACCAGGCAGCATTCATCGATCATAATGTGAGATCCGGTATTCTTAATGAATTCATTCAGCACGTTCAAAGGGATAACAAGTGCTCAGGGCCACTCCCCGGGGGATAAAGCGGCGAAATGTGAAGGGAAGGAGGAGAGGCGACCGGGGGAAACCGACATCATCGGAGTCGATCACCATATCCTACACACAAAGTGAGGCACCCCCCCTCCTCCCTGGCTGCCACTTCACTGTTGGAGCTGACTGTTAGATAACCGAATTTCATCCTTATTGATTGTGTGTCCCGATGGATGAATGTCCAGTTAGTCCACAAAGACCCTCCAGTCAGTCGATGGCAGATGATGGGGGTAGATCACGATGGTCAGCAGAAATCGAATGGACCTCTCAGCCGGGTGACCTGCCCCGGAAGGTCACCGAGGGGGCCCTCCACAGCCTGGTTGGTGGCAACTATCTAGTAGTCTAGCTAGTAAGTAGGTGCGAATCGGCCGACGCAAGGATGGGGACGGCGGTTTCACATCGGTTCATCGTGGCTGATCACTCGCAGTTTTCCTTTCTCGGCCCCCTCCCATCTGTCCACGAGCTACTCACCCCCGGCCTCAGCGACGACGATCATTGATGGAAGAACCATCGTCCATCTGTAACAACAAGGTACAAGGACCCTCCTCGACGGGATAAAGAGGGACGAGCCGAGCGTGGGACACGCGGTCTCCGTGGGTGCCGCTCGCTCACGGCCAATGCAAGTTTCACTTCGGGAGAATGGCGGCCATACGCGACCGGGAGGCGACATTCATGTGCAGGACATCCGACACGGACACAACGGCCAATCCTGTGGCCGCTTATTACGTCGGCGGACCAGGCAGATGAGCGAGCGAGCGAGGCTTCGACCTGGGGATGAGTTCACACGGGCGCGGGGGACGGAGTGGGCCTGGATGAACCCCCGGGTGCGTCGGGGAGATAGCTCTACACTGGCGAAAGAAAAGAGGGATACAGCTGTTGCCACTGAAGACATCATCGGGATGTCGTGGCATAGCCTCACTGTGAGTAATAAGATTTTGTAGCCGGTAGTTGCCTAACTATGTATGTAGATTGTAGACTTTGTACCCCAGCCTTGGCCTTGGATGGTCGGCAGAGCTGCCTGATGAAAAAGTGGGAATTTCTATTTGATCATCCACAGTGGGTAAGCAGACTTGATAGGAAGATAGATAGTGCGATTATATTCAACAGTTAGTAGTACATAGAAGGGACGTATCTAGAGAGTGGAGAGAGATACAGTATCTATCGACTATCGAGATACATACTTACTCATACTCCGGTTTAGGGCCAAGACAGATCCACCGGCAGTGGTACCGGAGCCGGGCCGGGTTCCTTTCCGGTGGTTGGTTCGGGTTGAGGTTGACCATGAGGAAACACATCGGGATTAGTACTGAGTTGTAAAAAGTATGGGGAAGAAGGAAACAAATGGGGGGAGGAGTGTGACATTCTGATCCAATTGTATCATGGAACATCAGGGAAATGGGGAAGCGGCACGAGCTAACTGGCGAGCCCGCCTAATCCCCGGAATCCCGAGCTGGCTGATTTGTCTTGATCGATCGTTTTCTCGGTCTCTCTCTTGCTTTTCCTCTTCGCTTCTTGCCTTGCTTACTGTTTGGTTCCGGGGATAACCATAGCCAAGCCCTAACACACTTGTTCTAGAAGGCGGGAAGGGGCAGCTGGAAAATTGAGAGGTAGGCAGTATGGAGTAATGTAGTACTAGTACTCCTGTCTACCGGCTATCTATCCAGTTAGATCACTAGTACTCGTGGGCTAAGGAAATGAAGGGTCCGGCTAACCGGCCAGGAACCGGATCAACGACCAAACCTTCCAACATATACTCACTTCACCTTTTCCCTTATCAGTATATCAAAAGGGCATTATCAACCATCCCGTGTAAAAGCCGGCGATAAATAAATTATGAAAATCATAATCACCTAGTTTGGTCATATCGCCATCATTTCCCCAGAATTACCAGCGCCCTGGCCCTAACCCTACAGACTAGCATGGTTCCACGTGGTTGAGATAGAGGAGCCAAGGAGAAAAAAAAGAAAAGGAACGCCAATGCAACAGTTCATTAAACACTTATTTGATTCCATGTTGTTAGTTGTATAGTGGTTACGTTGGGTTCGGTACACCAAGGAAAAGAATGTAGCTGAGATCAATGGTCCGGTGAAGGTTAAGGGTCCTTGTCCAGATTCCTGTCAGATCGAGGCCCATTGTTGAGTCGAATCATTGACCAAGCGGATAAGTAAAGAAAAAAAAAAAAAACAATGAGTACCTCCCTTCGCTTCGGCTGTTCATATATTCATTCCATGATGGACAATAATTATTGGAACCATTGCCCCTTCATCGCCCAGATCCTGACTCAGCAGCCAGCGTCTGCATGTCCTGATTTGAACTAGTGAGCAACCCTTTTCAGTTAGCTTGGTTCTCGGGGCCAATCAGAAACATCTATCCGCCCCTCTCTCATTTTCCTTACTACTAATAAATTCTTTTCTCTTTTCAAATTGTTTTCGCCTTTTTGTCCGTTTTCGTCAATTTGCCTCTTTTACCCTCGCTTTTCTTGTTCTTTTTCCTCCTCTTCATTATCATGATTATTATACATGGTACCTCTTCGGTTGTCGTTATCACGATGAATAATGATTCATAACTGGTGCACACCGTAGTCCTAGAAAGAGCAACAGGGGATAACCAGCCTGAAAATATACACACTATTACCATCAGGTACACCGGGCAGTACACGTAGAATCCACCAGTAACGGGGCATCTTGGTTGAAAGCATACTTTTTATTTCAGAGTTCTTACCTCAATCAGGTATTACACCAGTACCTACTTACCCATGGCACATGCATAACCGCAGACATTATTTAGCCTGGCAGTCTAGTCAGCAGTCTAATAAATTATTAAGTACGTACTAGCATTTGGAGATGATGAATGATTGATCAGGAAACGCCTGGGGTGCCCCAAACTCTATCCGCTTCGATGTTGCGACCGTCACCTCACGTCAAACAGTTCACCGTCATGGATTTCTCCAGGTAACGAGTTTCCGTTGGAGTGATCAACCCAGCGGGTGGTACTCTGGGGGAAATCCAGCCCGACTTCTCCAGTGTGATTCGCTCTGCCTTCCCAACTGAACCACCGGACAGACAGACTTAGTCTGCCTTTAACGTAAGGAGATTGATTATCGGGCTCGGGGATGGCTCCACCGCGCTGTGGCCACGGGCGAAACTTCATCCTCGTTTTTTCTTTTCCTTTCCACCCCACAATCTGAGCGAAATGCAGAAAAAGCCTAAACCCGCAGCTTTCTTAATAATAACCAACGGTAGATAACTGCGTGCTACGTGCTAGATACTACGGTGCACTCTACTGCTACGTACTTTGCTATTTAATCTACTAGTCAAGCAAAGGCCAGCCCATCCTCCACTCCCCGTCCGCCCGCCCATAATACGTATAGCCCTCCCCCGGTGTGTCTTGTCTGCAGCCCTCCGCTACCGTCAAACTTTCTATCTTTTTTTTTTTACCCTTTCTTTTCCCTTTCCCTTTCTCTCTGTCTTGCTCTTGTTTCTCTCTCCTCTCTCCTCTTCCTTTTTCTTTCCTTCTCTTAGTGTAACACCTCTATCTTCTTTCCGCTTGACAAGTTACAACCACCTCTCCGCTCCGCTCCCTTCTTCTTCTCGCCATGGCTCCCACTACCCGGGATCCTGAGGCTCTCGCCGTCCACCACGACTCCGATATCATGGCTGATGATCTGGCCGAGAAGAAGATCTCCGCCCATGAATCCCCCCCGGAAAATGACCCTTTTGGCAATGAGGAGTGTGGTGAGGTCAAGTATCGTGTCATGAAATGGTGGCACTGCGGTATATGTAAGGTTCCTCGGGGCTTCTCCCCAACCACAACCTCCATCAAGAGTCAAGGAACACCGTCTGAACTGAAATGTGATAGTGATGATCGCGGAGAATATCTCCCTGGGAATTCTGTCCCTGCCGTCGGCCGTGGCGACTCTCGGAATTGTCCCGTGAGTGCTTCCACTTTGTCGACTTTCATTCTATTCTGTATCCTCGCTAATATTCATTGTTCAGCTCCATCTTCCTTATCTTAGGTCTGTCTGGCATTTCCTGGTACACTGGCTATGTCATCGGCCAGTTTAAGCTGCGCTATCCCCAAGTCCACAGCATGGGTGATGCGGGAGAAATTCTCTTTGGCCGCATTGGCCGCGAAATTCTATTCTTTGGCCAATTGCTGTTCTGCATCTTCTTGATGTCCAGTCACATTCTCACTTTCACCGTGCTGTTCAACACCATTACTGGTCACGGCACCTGCACCATCGTCTTCGGCGTCGTCGGTTTGATCGTCAGCTTCATCGGTGCCTTGCCTCGCACCATGGGCAAGGTGTATTGGATGTCTCTTGCCTGTATGTCCAACCCACCCCCCCACCCCCTCTTTGCTGCTTGGTTTCGGACCGGGACTGACGACCTCCTCAACAGCTTGTACCAGTATCACCGTTGCCACGATCGTCACCATGGTGGCCATCGCCGTGCAAGCACCTGATCATGTGCAGGTTGACATCACCACCCATCCTAGCTTCTCGACCGCTTTCCTATCTGTGACCAACATCGTCTTCGCCTTCAGTATGTCCCTTTGCATTGTGTTCTCTTTTCTCGGAGCGTCCTTCCTAATCCTTACTCTGCAGTTGCTCACGTGGCCTTCTTCGGATTTGCCTCGGAAATGGAGGATCCTCGCGACTTCCCCAAGTCGCTGGCTATGCTGCAGGTCACCGATACGACCATGTACATCGTCACCGCCATGGTCATTTACCGCTACGCCGGCCCGGACGTTGCTTCCCCGGCTCTGTCCTCTGCCGGTCCGCTGATGAGCAAGGTTGCATACGGCATTGCCATTCCTACCGTGAGTGTCTCCTCCATATCTCGTTTCCATTTTGCATACTAATATGCTCTCGGTGGTAGGTGATCATTGCCGGAGTTGTGTTCGGTCATGTCGCGTCCAAGTATATCTACGTCCGCGTCTGGCGCGGCTCTCCCCAGATGCACACAAACAGTCTTTCGGCTGTCGGATCCTGGGTCGCCATTGCACTGGGCGTGTGGGTGATTGCTTGGATCATTGCCGAGTCGATTCCCGTGTTCAATGATTTGTTGAGTTTGATCGTATGCTTCCCTAGCCCCTGAGGTGCGGTAAACGTGTTGTCGCTAACGGGTGTTGTGATTGCAGAGTTCTCTCTTCGGTAGTTGGTTCAGTTGTAAGTCTCCCTTCTCACCCTTTCCGCCTTTGCTGTGGAACCCCAGGCTTATCGTTTCATCTCAGACGGACTCCCTGCCATGTTCTGGTTGGTCATGAACCGTGGACAGTATACTGCCTCGCCCAGAAAGATTTTCCTGACCATTGTCAACCTCGTCATCTTTGCCATTGCTTGCGCTATCGTATGTTGTCAACTTATCTATTCCCGTTCTACACTTCTACATCGATACTAACAAGACCAGTGCGGATTGGGTCTTTACGTCTCTGGCAAGGCCATTCACGACAGCTCCTCCTCTGCTAGCTGGACGTGCGCAAACAACGCCTCCACCTAAGGATGGGTTGAGTCTTTCCGGGACCCGGCGGATTCTTCACGGGATCCACCCTCGTCTCCCTCTCTGCTAATCTCCCAGATCGAGCTGGGCTGTTCTGGGGTATTCAACTTTGCGGTGTTGGAATTGGTGTTTGATGGGTCATTTTCGATGAGTTCCGAGGAATGGTTTTTTCATGTCATGATTTTGTTTTGCGTCTATGGTTTTATTTTCTCCTCTAGCCGGCATCTACTCGTACCTACTACCTGTCTGTTCATTGCATGTTATTTCCCTCCCCCCGGTGTACGGATTGTATATACTACTGCTGCCATTATTACTACTACGACTATGACTATTACTCTATCCTGGTTGGTCCACTCGGTCGGTGGCTACTGCTGGGTGGAAATGGATGCAGAGATTCTCTGCGGTGCATTGCATCGCGTCGCGACAATTTGGTTCTTGCATTTGGGCTCAATTAAATACAGCGCGCAAGTCTTTGACACATCTAGGAATATAAACTTCATCACGATGAAGGATTGTTGGGT